ACGTGGTGCGATCATCCCCCTTGCGCGGAGTGAGGGTTCTCGACCCCGCACAATATCATCTACTAGACCACCATGATGGTTACCGCCAAAAAACAATCAGAGAAACTATTTTACAAACGGTAACCTGGTTGCCGAGTTCACGAAGCGAATTGGCTTGCTCTCCAACGTCGTTGCCAAGCAACGAAAACCCAACCCCGATGGCAAACACCGAGGGGGCGAAACACCAGGGGGCGGGGGGTGTACTCATAGTCGTGCATGCCGTAGTCGTTAGACCATTGACCTCGCATTCCTACAAAGCCGGGACCGAGCACGCCGGGTTCTCACCGGGCCAGGCTCTTACATCGCCAAGCGCGAAGCGCCGTCAGATATTCGGCGAGTCGCGTCATCCGTGGGCTGCATCCTGCTAACGATGTTGAGCATCTTGTGCATAATTCCTTGTGTTCGGATGACAGCTGCGTATGGCTTAATTGATTTTCTGGTGCTTTCACTTCCAGAGACAGTTGTAAGCACTGTGTAACTGCCTCGAGGGTGCTTGACCATTTTAACACAACGTGGTGCGATCACCCCCCTTGCGCGGAGTGAGGGTTCTCGATCCCGCACAATATGATCTACTCGAGCACCACTATGGTAAGCGCCAAAAAAAAACAGAGAAAGTTATACAAACGGTAACCTGGTTGCCGAGTTCACGAAGTGAATTGGCTTGCTATACAACGTCGTTGCCAAGCGACGAAAACCCAACCCCGATGGCAAACACCGCGGGGGGGGGGCTTGCCTTACAACGTTGTTGCCAAGCGACGAAAACACAACCCTGATGGCAAACAGCGAGGGGGCGAAACACCGGGGGGCGGGGGGTGTACTCATAGTCGTGCATGCCGTAGTCGTTAGACCATTGACCTCGCATCCCTACAAAGCCGGGACGGAGCACGCCGGGTCCTCACCGGACCAGGCTCTCACAAACAAGCGCGAAGCGCCATCAGATATCCCGCGATTCGCATGAAAGGTGCGCTGCATCCTGCTAAGGGTGTTGGGCATCTTGTGCTTAATTCCTTGGGTTCGGATGACAGCTGCGTATGACTAAATTGATTATCTGGTGCTTTCACTTCCAGAGACAGTTGTAAGCACTGTGTAACTGCCTCGACGGTGCTTGACCATTTTAACACAACGTGGTGCGATCATCCCCCCTGCGCTGAGTGAGGGTTCTCGACCCCGCACAATATCATCTACTCGACCACCATGATGGTTACCGCCAAAAAAAAAAATCAGAAAAACAATAATACAAACGGTAACCTGGTTGCTGAGTTCACGAAGCGAATTGGCTTGCTCTCCAACGTCGTTGCCAAGCGACGAAAAACCCAACCCCGATGGCAAACACCGAGGGGGCAAAACACCGCAGGGCGGGGAGTGTACTCATAGTCGTGCATGCCGTAGTCGTTAGCTCATTGACCTCGCATCCCTACAAAGCCGGGACCGAGCACGCCGGGTCCACCGGACCAGGCTCTCACATCACCAAGCGCGAAGCGCCGTGAGATATTCGGCGAGTGGCATGAAGGGTGCGCTGCATCCTGCTAAGGGTGTTGGGCATCTTGTGCTTACTTCCTTGCGTTCGGATGACAGCTGCGTATATGGCTTAATTGATTTTTAGACTATATCATTTTACAATACCTAGCATCCGGTTGCCTCACACCTTCTCTTCGCAAGCAGAACTCCACCGCAACGACCCGTGGCCGCCCCAGTGCAGTGGCTCAGTGTGTGGAGCGGCTCGCTGGACAGACTCCGGTTGGTTCGAACTCTGCATTGTTCACATCTCCGGCTTTTATTTTTCTGGCGAGCGCCTGCTGTGCCTGTATGCATGAGTGTTTGTTGAGCGTTACCCGGCCAGCAGCAGAGGGTTATCCAAGATGAAGTAATCGGCGTCTCTGCATCCAAAAAAACGGCGACGGCTACTCAGCACCGTAGGTTAGAGTCGACTAGCGCTACCGCCGAAGGGGGTACCGAAGGGATGAAATCAACATATATTGTACGTACCCATAGACTTCTATACCATGTGCGCCCCCCCCATGAAGAGCGGCTGGCGGCAGCTGGCATCACCAGTCGCACCACTCAGCACCACGACCTACACGACAGAACGGGAGCTAAGAGACAGTAGATAACAGCAGACCTTCGATCGGCGAGAGAGGCCGCAGATATTGGTGAGCCACTCTGTTGCCGCTTGCTTCCTGCAGGATTGAGCATTGCCGTCGCATGTACAGCGGCCCGTTCCCTGCGAGAATCCGTACGCCAGACGGACGCACACCAGTGACACCTTGCACAGGCTCCACCGTCATGTCGCTACTGTAGGCGTAGCGTGAGTTACAACAGGCAGAGTTTGGCGAAGAGATCAGTCCTGGCTTTGAGGAGCAGACAAGGAGGGAGTGAAGAGTGTACGCGAGAGGAGATCATGTCAATCTGGTTTCGACACACGCCGACCACCGCCCCGCTCTATAATTGCTGATGGCACATAGTCTACATCCTCTCGCCGAAAAGGCTGTAGGATCTGACTTTCGTGTGTGAATGTGTTTTGTAGCATGAACCTCCTCTTGCTACCCAGATTTGTCGCAACCTTCGCTGTAGGAGGACAGCGCTGTGCACGGCGATGGGTACAAGATTCATCCACGCGTAGGCGCTGTGGCTCTTCCTCTCGATGTTCTGAGTTTGTTGCTCGATGCCAAAGCTCTTTACTACTGCGTAGAGTAGCAGCGGGAGGTGGCACACAAGCAAGGTAGTAGTGCCGAGCACGCCATGTAGTACATGTAGTACATGATCCCCGTTCTGTACTTACAGTTCATAGCCGGTTGTACCGCACGAATGTCATCCTTGTACAAGCAGGAGCAAATTGGGCTCGTTTGAAAGATGCTGCAGACAATTAGTTTGTCGGCGCCCTCGATCCTAAAGCTGTAGATCTATGTACATGTACATGCATGTACATGTATACATGTATACAAGTAGACCAACTAGCGCGCATGACGGAGTCGAGCACCCGGCCATATCTACCAACAGCAACACAGTCGGTGTGTAGCGGGGTCATTTTGTTGAAGCTTCAAAGTTTTGTTTATATCTGCTGGTATCGTGCGCATCAACCCCTGCTCCGGATGACACCGCTGTAGGGGGTGGGTGGCGTGAACTCGTAACAGCGGGCGACGCAGCCCCATTTCAGTAACACCGCAATAGTAGTTGCCGCACGTCCTTTTCGATTGGCCTCGTTTTTTGCAGGCGGAACATGGCTCCTTGCAATGACAAGGCGTCTCAGTCCAACCCGGAGGAGGCCGCCGCCACGCACGCCTCCTTGGTGATGGATGTGGACTTCGAAGGCCAGGTCATTCAGGGGTCGGTCGAATACACCGTGGAGATCATGGTGAGTGTCGCGTGCCCCTCTCGAAGTCGAACGGAGTACGTGGCTCGCATACCACGCAAGTATAAACTTGAAACAGTTAGATTGGCTTGCATATACCCAATGAAGCGCGGGATGTAGTGTCTGAAATAGTACACGCGGGTTGCGGTTCTGAACGGTTCGACAGGCGTGGACCTTACCACTCTAGTCGCCCAAGAAGCTCGTGTTAACTTGCGTTCGTTCACGACTCTCTGCGGTTGACGCTCGAGCCGAAACCGCCGTGGCGTGCCGACATGGAATTTCTGTTGCGTACTCATTCAGCACTATATGTACACCTCATGCAAGATTCTCACCATGAAACTGAGCGTACAGCCAGCGTCTGGAGTCCCAACGACAGTTAACACAAGGGCGAGCATGCTTGCACCGGCGCATGGCGTACTACGTGGTAATCTTATGCAGCTGGTGCGCCTGTTCCTTCCCCGCCTGTCTCGACGAAGGCGGACGGCGCTACAGCCTTCATCCTGGACACGAGCATGATCACGGTCGGGACGGTGCTGGTGGACGACGAGCGCGCCCGATGGGTGCAGCACCGGCGCCACAGCATTTACGGATCCGCGTTGGACATCCGCCTGCCGGGAGCGGAGTCGGGCACGCGGCCGTACACCAAAGGACAACTGTTGCAGGTGTGTGTATTTTCCGCAGGTTGCCACGCACCGTGTCGGCTCGGGCGTGTGTTCGTGTCATTTGCGGTCGCTTTGTGGCAAGGACCGGGCGCGTGGGTCAATGTGCGTTGTGGGTGTTATTCTGTGCATCAAGACAGACATGTTTCCTGTAATCTGGTGCAATTTGCTGCGGTAGGTTGTGCCAAGAGATGGCCGTGATGATCGACGTTGGGGATTGCCGTTCTCGAAAGTAATGTTTGTATTTGTGTGCGTCTTCTGTCTCTACATAGCACGGCATTGCCCTCGCGGCACATAGCTTTCTGCAGCGAGGTACTTGACGAAATCGTCGTAAGCCACATTCCACAACATCGTTTCGCAAACGCGCGCCCTCCGCTCCTTGATAGTTTCCGCGGCTGGTCGCTCCGACAACTCGTTGGCGTCGCGTGTGTTGACTCTTGTTTCGTTTCGTGTTTTTGTTATTTTTCAGGTCAAGATCAGCTTCTGCACCTCCCCCCGCAGCACCGCTATCCAGTGGCTTCCGCCCGAGCAGACCCACGGGGGCAAGCTGCCCTACCTCTTCACCCAGGGACAGGCTATCCATTCGCGCAGTCTTTTGCCGTGCCAAGACTGTCCCTCTGTAAAGGTTAGAAAAGGCTTTGAGAAGATAGCAGGTTGGAGGGGGGGGACGGGGGTACTCATAGTCGTGCATGCCGTAGTCGTTAGACCGTTGACCTCGCATCCCTACAACGCCGGGACGGAGCACACCGGGTTCACCGGACCAGGCTGGGGGGGGAGGATTTCTGTAGGGGAACAGAGAGTGGTCCGCCGCGAACTGTTTCTTTTCGTGAGCGAGAGGTGTAAAGACGAGGGTTCTACAACGAGAGTTCGGTTTTCTCCGCTTTTTGTACCAGGCGGGAAGCTTCAACTTTTGCGGTACCCCGCTCCCTGCGGTCGTGAATCCGGTCCGGCAGTCCTTGTTGCGAAGCGTCTTGCTGCGACTTGGAGCAAATGAAGTCTTGTATTGTGCCAGCGGAACTACCCCGTCGTTGCCCCCACTACCCTCCCACGTAGGTCGACCATGATCAGATGATGGCCGCAATACGCCGAGAACCGTAATGCGAAAGCATGAGCACCAACGTAATGCCATGAATTAGATGTCTCTTTTGTCTCGTACCTTAGAGCACGGAACCACGGTGCTCCTCCACTCGTGTCGAAAGCATTGCGCGGCCAATGGTTAACGACGTGCATAAGGCAAGTAGTGACCCCCCCCCCGGAAATCAGATCACGTACGAGGCGAAGGTGACAGTCCCGGCGTGGGCGACGTGCCTCATGAGCGCGCTCGAGTCTGCCCAGCCTCAGGCAGCGGGTCCCGAAAAGAGGACTTTCTCGTGGAAGCAGAGCGTGCCTATGCCCTCGTACCTCATCGCCGTCGCCGTGGGAGAGCTCGAGAGCCGCGAAATCAGCCCGAGGTGGGGCTTGTGCGTGTGTCCTTTAAGTTTCCGATGCCTTGAATTGGCGTCATCCCTTGATGATTCGATGTCGACTATGCCCACGCATATTTACAGATTGCTGAACTTTCCAACACAGTTATTTTTTATTGTAGATGTCACAACCATGCTGACGGGAGTAATGGCGTCATCTTTGTCCGAGGTATTACAGTAGGTGCCAGACGCATGTTGAACACATGTTCGATTTGGCTCGTGTACTTCGCTGATCCCGACCAGAAGCAAAATCCTTGGCCCCCTTAGCCGTCCTTCCACGCCAAAGAAACGTGTTGCATTCCCATAACCCACAATAACCCAGCGTTTTGGTGGGGCTGCTTCACTGTTACCGCCGTCTCCCCTGGCGGCGCTACCCCATCCTGGTTGCCGCTCCCAACACTTCGCCAGGTGCTGCATCTGGTCCGAGCCGGGAGTGGTGGACAAGGCGGCGTTCGACTTCTCGCAGACGGAAGAGTTTCTGACCGCGGCGGAAGGCTTGGCCGGCCCGTATGAGTGGGGGCGCTACGACGTGCTCTGCCTGCCTCCGTCCTTCCCGTACGGTGGCATGGAGAACCCTTGCCTGACGTTCGTCACCCCTACGCTGCTGGTGAGGTAGTATTCTCCGCGTCTTTTTGGGCTGTGGTGGCAGTGGCGAGGCGGTGATCGCGCTTGTGTCGGTGCTGAGCGTCTGTGGACCGTTACACCACGATCGTAGAAAGGTAGCGCTCGGGTGATTAGACGCTCTTCTTTTCCCTGGTGCATGCCGCGTAGTTTTTTTGTTTTTTCCCATCATTGGACTCTGTCGTCTGCCCCTCTGGCCCCTATCCTCCACTTCTACTAGCTAGACGACCCAACCGGGGTCACACAGGAGGGGGGGGTTGGACCCCCTCCTGCGGTTCCTGCCTGAGGTATTTTTATCGCGAGAAGGGTACAGCAATCCCTTCCCTCGCGACTTTCGAAGTCGATTATGGTTTACTATAATAACAACGAGCTTTGCAGCGCGTCGCTTTCATCCTAGACCACGATTTATTTTGTGCGAAAAAAACTCGTTCTGCCGGGACTCGAACCCATGACCTGGCCCTTAGCCGGCTGCGAGGTTACCCACTAGACCACCGGGGCGACCCTCTTGTAGTGTTGGGTGCACGATTATTGTTCTGGGAGTTGTACTTTCCTGCCTCTGCTGCCGCTTGCGCCGTTGCCGTTTGACACCACGGCTGTGTGTCCTCTCTCACATTCTGTCACCCTCTCTCTCTCTATCTCCTTCCTTCCCTCCCTCGTCGGATTCGCCTTTCTCTCGGTCCCTCCTCCGATTCGTTCCCGGCAGTCCGGCGACAAGTCTTTGGCCTTCGTGATCGCCCACGAGATCAGTCACAGCTGGACGGGGAATCTCGTCACCAACAGGTAAAACAAACACGCCGCAACACTAGTGGTGTTGCTTTCGTTGTCGTCGTTGTCCATTAGGATTGTTGTGTTGCCGGCTGCCCCATGTTGCCATCAGCCTTGTACGTGCTTTGCTTTGTGGTTGGAAAGGCACGCCACAGCGGTGAAATCAACAACAACACATACCATGGACAAAGATGGATTTGTCGTGTTTAATGAAGGGAAACAAATACATCGTGAACAGGGCTGATTGCGCTCGCTTGCGGTCGCCCAGCTCGGCGAAAATACCACTGCGCTGTTGTCCGAAATACTATGGATACGGTTATTGGCCTTCCCAACGTCGTCAGGCATGCGCTTGAATTGGGGTGGGGACACGCTCTCTTGCCCCTGTTCGCGTTGCGCATTGCGGCCTGGCGAAAGTCTCGTAGTATGTTGAGAAACCGCACCTCTTTGCCATAAATGACGTATTTTTTGTCTTGACGTGATTCCCGCCTTCAACCCAACCCAGGACCTGGGAGCACTTCTGGCTGAACGAGGGGTGGACGATGTGGCTGGAACGCAACATCATGACTCAGGTAAGAGACTAGTCGTGAGCCGGTCACCCCAAGCTGCTCAGGTGCGCTGGCGTCAAGTAGCCCCCCCTGATTTTATCTTGTTATCGGTGCGTGAGCAGGCAAAATGGGGATGGATAAGTGTTGTTGTATTCTTTGGCTCCGCGCCCCGTATTCTTCCGCACCGTTTCCACGCGTGCAGTGCCTGCAGGAACGCGAGAGGGAGGGAAAATGGCTCGAATTGCACAAAAGGTATGTTTTTTGTATCTATGTTGGCGAGAGATTCGTTTTTCGGGCAATACCAAACAATGTTCTGTTGCTGCAGACGGGCACCTGGATCACCCTCCCCTGTCTACACGACACAGCACCCGCCATGCCCTTGATTCAACGGGCTCTACTATCCTGTCCCCGGCGATCGGCAGGTTGCACGTCGTGCCCCTATATTCGCCCTTCCCGCTTTCCACGAACCATTCCCGTCCCTCCTAATTATGTAACCCCCCCCCCCCCCCCCCCCCCCCCCCCCCCCCCCCCCCCCCCC